TTTAGAAACTTTTGACCATTTTTTAGAAATTTTTTTTAGCAAGAACAGATTGCGATAACTGATCCTGCAGTAGCTAAGACTCTTTAATTTTTTATAGGAGAAATGTTAGATCATCAGGAAAATTGTTTATTTCAAAATTGTGTACTCTTCTCTTATTTTAGTAGAGAAACAGCTAAGGTTTTGGGCAAAACCCATTTTTTGAAATCATATTTTTCGTGCATCATCGGTATAGCAAATTCAATCAATATCAAACACGTTTCTCCAGCTTTAACTAGGCCCTAGTTGTTTTTATCGAGACATACGAAGTTTTTTTGGTTAACTAGTTTTTTTGAAGATCTATTTTTGTCGACTTTTCGATGTTTTTTATGTTTGCGTTGTATCGCAGGTGGTGCTAAGCTCCTCTTTGCCTCTGTGTTGAATATTGTAGATATGAAAGACGCTGAAGCATGATTGTTTTCTAACGCTGAAAGTTATTAGTTCGCTCGCTAGTCTTCCGGTTTTTGCCCTAGATTGAACGTTCAAGTCACTCGAGTCTGAAATCGTTTATAGTGGCGTCGGACGCTTAAGTCTAATATAGGATCATATTAAACCTTCTCGGGATTTTCTTGGTTTCAAAAGAATTGCGATAGAATTTTTTGCGAGGTTAATTTTTGAATCAACTTTCTTCTAATCACTCAAAAAAAAAAACTTTTTACAAATCATTTTTCTAGGAGGTATTACCAAGTGTTATCCGCGTTGTTTTCTAAATTTTTTTCTTTCTAGCATTTTTTTTGAAAAATTCAGTTTGAGCACAGTTTGTTTTAATTAAATTGGAATTGTTAATTGGTTTGATCTGGTTTTTGGTCTCGGTAACCTAGTTTGTATCGTAAACCAAAAAGTGAAATATACATGTTAGTTTAATTCATTGAATTGGTCGTCTGTCCTAGTGTGTTTGGTTTTTTTGTATTTTTGTTGCAGTTGCTTCGTAATCACAATTTTATTTCAATGATTTAAAAAATTTAAGTTTACATCTAAGAATGACTGCTGTAAAATTTTTATAAAATTATGGTTCTGATTCAATTTTATGACAAAAAACGCCTTGATTATGAGGTTGGAACTTTTTTTAAGTTTTGCTCATGCAGTTTTAGAAGATTAGCTGAAGATGAGGCTAAGCACGATTTTTGATTATATTTACACGATAAAAATAGTTTGAACTGTCTACTCAATAACTGTATTTTCAAAATTTTGGGTTGCTGATAAAAAACTAGTTATACTAATTAGATCTTTGTAAAGGGCAACTATTTTGATTGAGTATCATTGTAATTTTCCGATCGTAAAACACTATAAAAGCATCTTTAAATAGTTTTCTTTCCCACAAAAAATTACTCTTTTTGAGTAATTTAGCCTCATTAAATCTGCAGAATCTAGTTCGCAAGGTTAACGTTCAATTTTTTTTGTTGTTTGAAAATTGAAATTCAGTATCGTTTTTTTTTTCAATCGAACCTAGGCTACAATATTTAACGATTTTACTAATGCTCTCTGTGTCAAGAAAAAGTAAGTTTTATCATGTTTACACTGTTGATTTAAATCATTAATACTATTCTGATTATGATTATGAGTTTTATGATGATAAGTATCATCAATCTTCACGAGAAAAAAGAATAGACATTTCAACGCAAATTCTCGAGCAATCAGAAATGAGGCATTTAGTTGAATAAAATTGTCACGGAAATTTTTTTGAACTTTGAAAATCATTTTTTGAAATATCACAAAACAAGAAGAAAAATTGAACAGAAATATTTTTCCTTTCCAGATCATATATCGCTAAACAGCAGATTGAACGCGTTGGTGGACTTTTTGGTATAATTTTATCTCCGTTTTTTGCAAAAATTTTGCCCATATTTTGATGCTGAATGCAATTTTTTTTCTTATTTCCTTACTAAATGATTTTTCTTTTGAATTATTCTCATTATTTATATGCTTATTTTTACAAAAATTATATTGATAGTTCATCAAAGACATAGTTTTGCTGCCGGATTTAATTTTTTAAGACCAACTGTTTTGTGCAACTGAAGCTAAATTAATTCACGTTTTTTTTAAGAAAAAACAAGGCTGAAACATTTTTTGTGAATATCAAAGAACAATAAGCACTCTAAAAGAAACGATTTAAAGCCAACATTTCTTTAACATATTTTAGATTATTTTTGAAACTTCTCATTGAGTTTTGTGTGCTGCACTGCATGAGAGTGTGGCAAACTTTTTTCATTCAAATATTACAAAAAATAATTACTGCACACGAATACAGATTGATAGAAATTTGGACTTTTCATCAGTGAAGAGTTTAGGAAAACCAATTAAAAACAATCTAATTAAAACTAATGATTATTAGCGATAAAAACTTTGTTTTAGTGCGTTTGTATATCACTTATTTCACTGAATTCACAAAGTTGGTATGTCCTACAATTCACTTGGAAAACATTTTGCAATTTCAACTGCTAAATAATAAAACAATTAACAAAATAAAACTGGTCGCAATGCTGTTTAAACGATGAACTCATCTGAGGTGATCATAGGTTAGTTAATTAAAAAACATTTATACCTTGGGCCAGGCCCCTGGTTTGGTTAACTAAGTAACCGATTCAAACAGACCCACAAAAAAGCATCAAAATCGAATAGTCTTCATAAGTTTTTTTTTAGCAAAATCAAAACATTTTTTCAAAATTATTTTTATAGCAGTTACTGATCAATATAAAGCCGCCTTGAAAACAACACACAAAGCCAATAAATTTCTAGTGCTAAATTATTCACAAAACGAACATATTTTGATTTTTCAAACTCGTTGCTTGGGGGTGAGGCAACATTCACCAGCCCGGAAAGTTCGATAATCGGAATCTTAATCAGTAATGCATCGAAATCTTAACCAGGGCTCAAAAGTGGTTCTCCGCGAAGAGCTGAACAGCTCGTATTTTGCTTTCTTCCCTTGTGGTTAAAATTTCCTTGGTCTATAAGGTATTACGCTGACTTGAAGCAAAGATAAATGAAAAATTCAAACAGTCTTATTAGTATATCAGTCCAAAGTTTCTTGCATAACTTCAATCGTGAAATTTTTCATATAACCAAAATCATATTTTCTTGCTTAACTGCAAGTAAAAATATTTATCTGACCGATATCAAATTTAAGTTAATCAACGGTCACACTCATTCAGGTTAGTGTCCGACTTCAAAAAAAAATCGCAACTTTTTGCAACTTATTCTTTTCTGAATAGAAAGAATTATATAGAAGTGTCTTTTAAGACCAAAACAACTGTTCATGCTAACCCGCACTGACAAAACTGGATTAGGATCAATTTTAAGATGAAAAAAGTACAATGATTAAATTTAGATCGATTGCAGTATGGAAAAAAACAAAGGTTAAATAAAAAAGATTAAGATTGGCTTAGATCGATTTAAAATTATTTTAATTTGATCTTAAACCCCAGATAAAAAATTGATCCCAATCGAGTTTAAATCATTTTTCAAATCCTAGATTGTTTTTGTTTTTAAGGGGAATAAAACAAATTTAAATTGATTTAAAGAGATACTTTTTATTCGAGTTTCATCAGTTTTGAGTTTTTATTGCATTTAGTCATTGCCCATCAATTTTAATTTTACATTCATAGCGTATTGTAGTTTAAAAACGACCAAATAAAAAGAACGAAATATCTATAAATTTCAATGATTTCCTTGCATATTTTGATTACAAAACTGGTCTATATTGACCATTTTCTTGATTCGTTTCATAAGTTTTTGCTGAAAGTCTGATTTACATTCATGATTTACTTTGATTTAGTTGCATATTATTGAGATCAAAAGTTAATTTTTTTCACCCTTTTTGGTTTGTTACATAGGATTTTACCCATACTCTGATTTACAAAGATTTTCTATGACTTCAATGCATATTTTGAGCTTAAAATCTAATTTATGTGGATCATTTTATTGAATTCTATAATATCTGGCACGTGTGTTTATATTTAGAAAAAATCGAGGATAAAATATTTCAAATCTTTTTCTGAAGAGTATGTTTAAAAATTGAGTTTAGTGAGTCTGAAAATCCATCCAAATCGATTTAAATTGATTTTTTAGACACTTAAATCGATCCAAACTTTTCAAAAAAGATGGCTTTAAACTGATTTAAAATCCATTTAAGTTCAGAAAATGTACATTGTTAGTCGATTTGGATCGATTTAAAATCAATTTAAAATCAATTTAAATCGATCCGCAGCCATTTTTGTCAGTGCGGGAATTTTTATCGTCGTTTTCAAGTAACGTAAAATTCAATTGTTAATTGATCATCCAGTCAGCAAGACAATTCGAACCAAAGCTAATTCACTCGTGCTATGAGTGCAAAAGTTTTCTCATAGAAGCAGAAGAACTGATGTAACTGAAGTACTGAAACTGCGCAAAGAAAAAGATGAACATTGAAAAATATATTTAAGGTTTCATTTTTTGGTCCAAATTGCAATTTATATTGCAATTTATATAGCAGTATCATGCTCTTTTTCTTGGAAGTCCTTCCATTTTGTTGAACTTCTTTGCGTAGCCTATGATTTTGCCAGCAACCGCGGTTATTGAACTGTTTTGCCCACTTTGATTTACTTGTTTTAGAAAACAAACTTTTGTTTTGGTGAAATATTAGTTGTTTTTACCCCTGTACACCAGTTTGTATTGCATGTACTTGACAGTTGCATTTACTCTTAGATTTAAAATGACTGGCAAAAACTATCTTCTAGAAGAAGTGGCAACTTTTCCAAGTTGGAAACTCACTTCAAACAATTTGTAACTGGATTATTTTCCAGAAGTTTAAGACTACAAAAGCATAACATGTTGGGGCGAATTGGACTGTTTCCAGAGGCTTATAGTCGGACAGTTTCGACGTTTGAGGAGTTAACTGGAATTAAGTTTAGCAATACGTTTTATGCACTATTTATGGGAGTCTATTTGGTTTTAAAGGAGCAAAAGAGCTCTTGGAATTAAGGAGATCCCTTTTTGTTTACCAGTTCAGCTTAACTGGGAAAGGCATATTGGTTGTTTTATGGTATGTGCGTCTCCTGTCCTCCAAACTTTAACTAGATTAAAACTGTGTTTTAGATACCCGTTTTTACAACTTCATGTTTTCATTTCGAATTATCTCAAACTTATTTATTGCTGCTTAGCACTGGTGGTATAAAGTAGTTCCATTGATTACTTTTTGAGACGACGTGACAACAAAAATCTCTAACTAATAATCCTCAAATTGTACGGCAAACACAAAACTTCTGACCCTTTTTAAACAACTCTTTTTTATTTATCTCTAAATCTTCTTATTTATTTCTAATAATTGGAAGATTAGTTAGCTTACTTTTCATCACAATTTATCAAAACACTTTTGATTATGTTACTCCAACAATTTATTTTCGCTGTAGCACAAATAGGTATGTTTTTCACTTGTAACATGTTCCCTGTCACAAATCCGCTGAAAACTCGATCTACTATTTTAAAGCTGCAGTTCTGCCTTAGAATTTGGAATTTAAATGAAACAGCTGCATTAAAAAACCTATCAAACTAACACTTTTCACTTATAACTGGAATTCCTGAAAATGTACCTTTCTGATAAAATAATGCTTCTGCGTAGCGTGACTCATCTGTCAGTTTTCCGACAAAATTTGAGCTGCTTAAGTATAATCGGTGCAGTTTTTTTTCAATATAAACATGCCCCGGCATTTTTTTAATAAGGAACTGCTACCAATCATCTGTTACCAAAATCCAAAATATATATCCAATATCATGCTCAATTTCGAATTTTGAGTAACCCGTCGTACTCCTGGCTGACTGACCCGGAATTTCAAGTCAAATGTCTCTTGGAGATAATTTCGACTTAAACAAGTTTTCAACTACTTTTTACGATCGAATCACTGAATCAAACTTTCAATTTAAATCTTCTAAAAAGTTTTGCTTCGAGTTTGAAATTTTCTTAAACTGAAACGGCCACTTTTAACTTCTGTTTTTTTGTCTCTTTACGAAAAACGATCACAGGTGAAATATCTTTTCCAATTTGAGCTCAAGACAACAATACTTTTAAATAGTATAAAACAATTTTTTCAAAAATGGCTAGTTAAAAAGTCAAAATTTGTCTAATGAAAAAAAAACCCATCCCGAGCACAAATATTCCGTTACTTTCGTATCGAAAGTCGGATCAATAAGCATAACCTATAACTCGATTTTAAAAATAGAAATCTTTCTAACACAACAAAGATATCAATAGATGTTGCACACGTCAGATCTTTTCTGCATGTTTTAAGAGACGACCTTTTTGAAGATAATAGAGACACAGTTAAAAAAATTTTGGCAGAGTCATCATTGTTTGCGATTTAGATTTTATCTATGTTATCTATTTGAACTTTAGAGTACAATAAAACGCAAATTTTCTGTAAATTAGTTTAAAAAAAGACGTCAGTTGACATGTTTCTAACGATCTTGTGACGTGTCTCAACCTGGTTCTGACTATAAAATTTTCAAAAAATGTATTGAAAAACATTTGCACAACCTGCCTGAAAAAAAAACTTTTCGGTTTTTCTTTGTCGTTTTGTATTTGACATCGCATGCTTGTGACACGATGTTAGAACTATTTCAAAAATTTTATCGTTTTTGCCAGTTTCCTTTTTTTAAAACGAAACCAGTAATTTTCGGATCACAATTGAATCATTTAGCTGAGTTGCATTTCTTTCAATACCGATAGTTATTTTAAACGTTTTTTTTCTAGTCTGTGCGGGACAAAAAAGTTTTTAAAAGAAGAATTTTCCCTATCTCTGAAAATTTTTATACAACGAATTAGTGTTTTATGGGCTCACTGCTGTGTACTTTTTTTCACTGCTCTGTATATTTCTTAAGCAGGACTAAAAACTTAAAATAATGGATTTATAGTCTTATTTTAGAACTTTTAATTTCAGCAGAAACTTGAATTATTGTTAAACAGAAACGCAATAATCATAAAAATATTCAGAAATACGGATAACTGAAGATATCATTCAAACGATACGAAGACGAACTGTTTTAAGTTAACCGCATTTAAACCAATCATCAAAAAAATCAATCATAAAACAAAATGATACCATTTTCAGTAACTTATATGTCTTTTTTGCCAATTTTTTCATAAGAAGAATTCAGTGATCTTCAAATTATTCAAACTTTCATTACTTTCCTTTTTCAAACCAACAAAAACAAAAAAATGATTTGAAAAATAACATGCGTGATAAATTTTTTGATATTAATCTAGATATTTCAAAAGATGTGGAACACGTCAAAAATTTTCTGCATACTTTAGGATACAATTTTGTTCAAGGGAATAGGGACATGGTTAATATATTTTGGCGAAGTCAGCGTTGTTTTCTGCTATTTTTGTTCTTCTTGATGTTCTACATGATCTGTTTGTATTTTAAAAGAAATCGCAATAATGGACATCGCAAAAAATGTAAATTAGTCGAAAAGAGATGACACATAACAAGTCAAGCAATCTATTGACGTAACTCATACTGATAATGATGATAAGAATCTCATGAAGATTAGGCAGAAGCATTTGTACAACCTGCATGGAAACAAACTCAGTTTATTTATGTTGATAATTTTATTTAGTTATTTTGATTGTACTTGTGTGCAAGACGATTTCCCAAAAAAAATTAATTCTGTGCCTTTCTGATTCTTTTTTCAAATGTTTTTTGAAAATCCCGCAAATAAGAGACGAAAAACTTAAAAAGCTCTACGATAGAATTGATTTCTTGTTTGTTTCTATCATATGAGTCCCGAAAGTATTATCATTACTTTCGCCATGATTTACAATTAGTTAACCTTTGACTAAAAACTTTCTAGTCTAGCTTTGTACAAAATTTCGAAATTCTGAGTGACGAAAGTATTAATGTTTCATACATATATTATCCGAGTATCTGCGCAGGGGCGGATCTAGGATTTTGTTGAGGGAGGGAGGGGGGGGGGGCGAATTTTTTTGAAAATTTTAAAAAGTTTTGACAACTTTTTGTTAAAGGTCGACCTAATTGATTTTCCTAAAGACCATGAAGACCCTATTTTGACCAAATTTTCTGCGCCGCAGGCATAGTCTTTGAAAGCAAGTCATAATTGGCGTTTTCAGGCCCTTTTTAGAAAATGCAAAATGACTCGATTTCATACTACGGAGCTGCTGTAGGTTGATGGTGGGTTATTTGAGTTGAAGGGGCCAGCCGAAACTATTTGGAGCCCGAAAGATCAGTTGGGTCAAATGTCAAGAAGGGATTATGAGTGTTCCATCCATAAGCGTTAATTTTTTCCACTGTTAATTTAGGGTCCAAAATAAATTGGAAGAGCATCTACTGGTAGCTGGAAATCATTTGTTGAAGCACAAGTAGTAAATGCAAACTCTGGTAGACTTTAGTAACCTTTTCCTGTTGTTCTCCGGGTGAATACAGGATTTTGTTTCCTTTTTGTAATGAAGGCGTCTCTGTCTTTTAGGTTTTGCCTATTCGAAAGTGGACAAATCTGCTGCTCAATTGGTGTCTGATGAATTATACAGTGAGCTAGCAGATGGCTACAACAAGTACTATCGTCCCCTCAGAAACCAACGGAAGACACTCCAAGTCACCTACGGGTTCGCACTCAACCAGCTGATCGAAGTAGTAAGTGAAGTAATCTATAAATTGTGAAATAGGCTTCAAAAAAACTGGAACTGACAGAAATAAAAATTCAAACATATTCGCTTTTCTTAACCAAAAAGATAATTAGCTTTTTTGTCAAAAATGAGCAAGGTTTTTTTTTCAGGATGTGAAGCATGAAAAGATTGTGGTTCTGATTTGGCAACGAAGTGTAAGTAATAAGTGATGACTTGAAAGTTTATTGATTTCTCACGATTGACAGAAAACTAATCTCAGAGGCTTGACTAATTTCAGAGAATTATTTCTCAAATAGAATCTATATTTGAATATTAAAACTCTCTGTCCAATTTTTCACAGTTAGCCTTATGACTTATTATTTATAAGTAAAAGAAGCGAAGGTCTGCGTATATCAGCCTTAAAATCGATGGTTTGAGGCCCGCAATGATCTGTGCCCGTTGCCTGCGAGTAAGGCTATAATTATCAGGCCAGAAAACGAACCCAAGAAATTGCACACAGTAATCAAACACAAGGGCTCACGAATGGGTTTTCATATAGAGTTGAAGATTTCGTATGTGGATCATTTCCCTCGTAGATGAGTAATCCTAACCGTAAATACCTAATTGTGTCTATTGTTAGTCGTGGGTGGATGAGTTCCTGTCGTGGAATCCCGAGGACTATGATGGAATTGAGGTGTTGAGATATGACCCCGTGGAAGTGTGGCTGCCAGATGTCATCATACAGAACAGGTGCTGTGAATTTTACTCTACAGATACTGCACCACCAGTCATTCAGAATTAACATATACAAAAACATACAACAAGAAATGTAAAACAAATTTTTTCCAAACTCCTGAAAATATAAAAGTTATCTGTACTGCAATATATTGCGACTTGGGAACATACAAAAAAACAACATCAGACTGTCTCGTGGCATCTCCATAGTTTTCTAACTTATTTGGTAAAGCTGATTGATGAATCCTATCTTTTCTACTTTGTAGTGTGGGTGAGTTTGAGCCGATTCGGGAGGTGACGGTGCTGCCTCTGATGGTGTTCTACAATGGAACTGTGGTGTGGAACCAGCCCCTGGTCAAACAGGTCACATGTCGCATGAACGTCCTGTGAGTCACTTCACTGTCGTTGACATCTGTATAAACTCCGCTGTATCTAAGGTTCAGTTGAGATCAAAATCCACAAAACATAACTGACCATAGCTTAATCGAATGCTGTCTAGACGCATAATCAGATGTCGAATTCTATTTTTCCGAAGAAAACTCGTTTAAATTTTATAATTTAGCGTTAATTGTCGAATTAACTTCGCTACCAGGCACCGACTTAGCCTTAAAACGGGCGATTAGATTCGCGGCGTCCTCTTTCGTTCCATATGAGCCAGATTGATTGTTTGTTGTTACAGCCACTTTCCTTATGACACGCAGCTGTGTCACTTCATAGTGGGTTCATGGACCCATGGCATGGACGAGATAGATGTGCAGATCAACTCAGACACCATCGACAGAAGGTAGAGACTGACAGAGTTCTTATCCTGCTCCTTTTAAATTTCAATGCAGGTTTTTGCAACCATTGAGTAATGGCAACCAAAGAACGATGCAAATTTTATACGGTGCCCTGCAGGTACAGATAAGGGGGGGGGGGTGGTGCACGCCCCCTCTTTCAGGGATCTTTGATATTATTTAAAGACAACCATTTTCGCCCGAAAAGCCCTAATTTTTTCTAAAGACGCCTTGGGCGCCAATATATACTAATTTGAAAGAGAGCGCTCGCCAAAAAAAAAACACGATCAATATTTTTTTGGTCCTTTCTCGAGAAAGCCAGCTTCTGGTGCCTTGGTCACTTGTATACATTTACGATAATAATTGTTGTCGTATCCGTATCCATAAATAGATTTAAATGATAAAAACGTGTGCCAAAAAGTGTCATTCTAGAGAAATGGGTCAAAACAAAAACCACATTGACAAAGCGCTTCAAACAACCGTCTTGTCAAAAAAGCTTGGAACATTTCTGGTTCTTGAATCATCAAGAAATATCGAAATCAGCAAAGCAGTTTTTTTTTGGATTTTTTATCGATTATTCTTATATCATAAAATGACGAGAAAGAGTAAACTGATTTATTGATACAAACGATGCAATTTTTCGTAAGTTAGGCTTGAGCTGAATTTAGTAACTACATAGACCACAACCAGTGGAGTTGGCTGAGGAGCAGTGCCAAAAGATGCGAGCACAAGTTCGACAACGTCGGCCGATTCTCATACCTCGACTATTACATCATCCTGGAACGGAAGAGCCAGTTCTACGAGATGAATCTAGTCATACCCACTGGACTTATATCGGGTCTGGCATTCGTGGCCTTTCTCTTGCCCTCCGACTCGGGCGAGAAAGTGGGATTCGGAATCACTGTGTTTCTGTCGTTGTGTGTCAATTTGCTCATCATTTCGGAGTTCATACCTGCGTCTTCTAAAAGCTTCCCAATCATAGGTTAGATCATTTTTGATCAATTGTGAAATTCCGAACTTTTATTAAAAAGTGCAATTCTTTGGTTTATCTTTGCGGCCAAGTCACGATGAAACCAATCGTTTGCAAAATATTTGAAGAAGTGCTCGTTGCTTGAGGGTGAGGCATCATTACCCAGCCCAAAAAAATAACCAAAAAAGTTGCATGTAGTTCTTAAGCAGGGGCACAACAGCGGTTCGCCGTGATGAGCTGTACAGCTTGTATGTTGGTCCTTTCCCTCGTGGATAATTGGTCTTAACTTAACTTAATTTAAGATCGATCATTTGTTACTTCAAGTTTTTAGTAGCCAATTTACCTACACTATAGCAGTCAGGTTTGTCCCTAAAACACTGGTAATGACTACAATTAAGTGCATATATTTCCAGGAAAGTACTACCTGCTGTGTATAGTGATAGTGGCCCTGTCTCTCATCATCACTACCCTAGTCCTCACCCTCCATCACCACGCCACTGTCAAACCAGTGCCGGAAAAGGTGAGCTAGCACCGTCTTGAGCTGCTATTATGCAGTAGATAAAAAACGCTTTTTTCTATTTTATACCTATATCCCTGCTTTCATGGTCTCGTCTCGTAATTTTGGTTGAGCTATTCATTATCAAGTTCAGTTTACAAGTTATTAGTTAGAACAAAAATTGAAAACAACATTTTTTTTACTTAAGTTAATTACATCTCATTTCATGGCTATTTTGCGCTGTTAGCTTACTCAGTTCAGTTTTGTAAATTGAGAAGAGATTTAAAAATTAATCTTCGGTTTGAAGATAGCGCGCATCTTCTTCGACTGGATCGGACCCTGGATCGGATTCCCATCGCGGATGTTGAAGAGACGCAACGACAGACAACTGACACAGGAACAGATAGACCAAGAGGCAGAGGACGAGGACAACAAGCTCACCCAACTCATAGATGAGATCATGCAGCAGTACAGCACCGGGTTGGATCCCTCTTTGAATTCGTCGCCTGCTTCCAATACTAACTCGGTCGTCTCTCCTCTTGGCTCGGACCCCGAGAAGGCAAAACAGCTGCTTAAAGGGCTGAAAAAAATGTCCAAGTCCAAAGGTCAGTAGTCTACTCTCACCAAAAAACTACCCTTAAGTTTACCAAAAACCGAATTAATAAAACTTTAATTTTATCTAACAAATAATTTTTGTTCAAGGGTTTTACTTTTTTTCGAGAGCCGGTTACTAAAGGGTACAAATTTTGAAAATATTTCATTGGCTCAATATATTGTCTAGAAAAACTTCAACATGTTTCGTTTGATCAATACTTTCCAATATTTTTCATTATTGTTCCGACTTTTTATTTATGCTCGGTGTGGTTTTTTTTATTCAGTCAATTTTCACCGATCAAAATAAAAATTTGCAACAAAAATTTTTATACCCCCCATTGAAGATATCGACTTCCTGAGTTCAAATTTTAAATGATATTTCACCTCCGATAATTTTTTGTAAAGTTCTGGGGGTTTGAAAATTGCCAAAATTGCCATATTCTGGTCTAAATTATGTGCGTTTTGAAGAGCATTCATGATGCTGAGATAGTAACGCGAGTTATTTACGCGTGGCGAATTATCCCGCACAACAAAATCGTTCCAAATTGAATTGAGGCTAGCTAATTGGTCGTATTAACTTGGTAAGACTCAGAATTTTACACATGGATATTGTTCAAAACGTCTAGGTTTTCAATGATTTCTTTTACCAAAAACTACTCGATATAAATTAAGGGACACTCGGAACATTCAGGGCCTTGCCCTGATATACGAGCAGTCTTGTTGTCTTGGCTCCGATTTCCTCGGCTTTCAAAATGTTATTTGGCAAATCACTTACCTATATTGAGAACAGTAATGGCTCCAAAACATAACGATGTGGAACCTACTGTTCGAATAAGTTTAAAATAGAACAAGACTGCTCGTATCAGGGCGAAGCAAAAGAACGGTTGAAAAAAAGCAAACTGGCTTTGAAGGTAGATAAAACTAAAACAGTTCGATCACAAAACGGAATGAAAAACAGCTAATTAATTAAAATGAAACAACGAACACATAAAATAGAGCAAAAAAAACTGTTATCAAATATCTGGTTATCTCGATAATAATTTTGAATTCAAATATCACATGGAACATGGAAGTTGTTTTTACTAAGCTTTATAAATTATGTGGAATCTCGTTTACCAACTGCGTGAGAGTTGAAGTAAACTGCAACTGAACCAGTTTTACCAATTATATGTTAAGTCTGTTGTTCAGTATGGTGGGTTATAAAACGGGTCAACTTTCAAACCAAATCATGGAGAAATTTATCTCAAAGTCAACAGTTTATCATGAATCTCAACTATCCAGACAATTTTTTTAAAGGGGAACTTTGGAACAATAAAAGGTAAAAGAGCTTCATTTATACGAATTTTTAAAATTTTTCTGTAAAATTATGTGACTCTCAGCAAAATAGTCACATCCGACGAACTCTACATTTTACATCCTAGTCATAAGCGAGTAAAGAAATCAGTAATCAACTCTAATGAACGCCATTAGTTTTTGATTGTTACCAGAACTCGAAAACTCTATTACTGTCTCACAAATCTTTTTTGGACTTTTTAAAAAAAAAATTGCAAAACGACACAGAATCAGAATGAACAACTTGCTTCATAAGTTTCTGCAGGCCACAAAAAAGTAAATGAAGAGTTAAAAAATTTTATATTCTACCTCTTTTTCATAGTATCGGTTTTCTCCAATGCTTACATCTCACCAAAATTTTCTTATTAAGCTTTTCAAATTAAAAATTATAAAAAATTTCACCATCAGAAATTTCAAATTATAAAAAATTAACTAATTATAAAAATAGTCTTATAAATTAAGATTTAATAGTTTTCTAACAAAAACAACGATGACTTTTCACCATCTTCCCAATTAAAATCTTTTTTTTTTGCGCTCAGAGACGTCTAAAAATAGGCAGATTTTTTATAATGACGATCTACTAGACGGTTCTTTTAAGTGATTGTTTACATAATTTATATTGATCAATAAAAAGCTATCATATTTTATGATGATTATTTGGGCATATTTGCCATCAATTGCTGACAATTAAAGAAAATTAAACAAAAAGCCGAAAAAATAAAATAAAATGTATGCTTTAGAAAATATCAATAAACTTTTTGCACAAAATTTTTTTTTACACATAAAGAAGTTTGTGAAAGCAAAAAATGTCACGTGAAGTTTGTCAAATCAAAAAATTTGTTTTTTAGAATATCGAGTTGCATTAGTTTTAACCGCTCGAATTTAGAAAGCAACTGAAGATTTTTAAACTAATTTTTTTGTTACCGGGCCAAGTTTTGGAAAATTTTTGACGTCATTCAAATGACGAATAATAAGGTTTCAATTTGATACATCACTCAAACTATCCCAATGATCTCTTGTGGTATTTGATTTGAGTGGAAAATTTAAAAATATAAAACACAACCTACTACAGTTTTTCTTCGCATTTTCAATGATCGGATTTATTTACAAAAATGATTGATGTCTGGATAAGTGCACAATTTTGTGTCTGTATTTTCCTGGATTCCATAGACAAGTATTTAAACATGTCAGAAATTTGTCGGAACGACCAAAGGAATTGAAAGAACAAAAGAAGAACAAAGGGAGCGTCCTTGTTTCGGAAACCGCGTACAATGCACAAAACGCACAATTTGGCCTCGTAATGAGGTTTTCTCGAAAACGAAAAAAGTAGTCAAACAATTATTTAAGCTAAGAAATTTTTCTAGAGTGCAATTCAGTATAATTTTTCATTAAATTTTTTTTTCTTTATTATGTATTCTGATTTTTTGTATGGAATCAATTTAAAAAAAGGTTCAAGTTTTTATGAAATTTCTTAGATAAAACTACAAATCTCATTAGAAGCTGACACAAAATTTTTTCGAATAACTGTTCGAAAATTTCATCAATATTCGGTTTTTCCGAAAATCAACAGCAAAGACAGTTGAGATAAATTGAAAGACTTTATTAGCAGATCTCAAGTGTCATCAAAAGTTTTTTGCTTCAGTATACAAAGTTGACACGGACTAAGGCACACTTATATATGTTCAGCTGATGTTTTAGTAATTTTTTGCATCCACGCGAGAAATTACGCTACCGATGAAATGAAAGTTTTTTTTAGAAATTAAGGTGTAAACACGCTTGCGTTTATTAATTAAAACAACTTTTATTGAGCCACCAAGTTACCAAAAAACCACTTAATTAAGCTTGCTGTGAGTTATCAAAAAAAAATTTTGAATGAAAAATAAAAAGTCCGTGTAAACAAGATTTCCACTGAGCCAAGATGACAGTCGCAGCAACCCAATTGACAAATATAACTACTGTAAAATTTTTATGACTGTGTATTATCGCGTATTGGATTGAAATGAAAAGTTTTCTCTCATTAACCCTAGATGTTGCATAGGTTTTTTATTTAATCAGTTATAAATTATAAGAAAAAAATTTGGAAATTGGGCTTCAACGTTTGTAATTCTCTGCATCCTGTTCAATGGGGTGATTAAAACAGCGCGTTGTTTTGAATGATGGTTTTTTCAATAAAATACAAGATTATCAGCGATGGATTTAAATCAAGTTTTTTGCTGCGCTAACGTTTATTCATTCTGGTACCTAAGATTTGCACTATTGACTTTTTTCCTGAAGCTCTAGTTGAGTCTTATAACGTTCTTCTCCTACAAAATCTCAAAAGGACAATCATATGAGCTCACAGCAACAATTTTTTGAAACTATAGCAATTCAAGACTGTTATTTGCGGTACATCATTTGAGATTTTCAACTCGTAACTATATGATTATTTTTCAAAAAAGGATCATTTTTCAAAAAAATGGCATTTTTCAGGGGGGATGATTTTCAAAAAAGAACATCAAAATTCTTTTTTAACTTTCTTTTGAAAATTCTTCAATTATTTTATTTTGAAATACTCAATAGAAAATAAAACGCAGTCGGATCATTCAGGGCTTCGCCTTTATACGAGCAGTCTTGTATGGATTGTTATAATCTTGTTTTTAACCTTGTATTCCCGGGTTGAACTTACACATATGCTCATTGCTGAATGAATCAGTGTGAATAAGTTTTTAGCAATGGCGTGTTTAATCGATGAATCAACTCTAAGAAGTGTAATTTTGCCATGAATAAATCACTGAACACCCAGCGATACAAATTTGTCAAAATTGAGAGTGCACAGATTGTAGTAATGCCAGTATTTTAACAGTCAGTAAGATGACGGTGGAGTAGAGTATACAAGTGTGACTGAAGATCTATAGACTTATTAGGTACTCGTTGATAGACTTGCATTATTCTGAAGAATAAAAAATCTGCTCTAGCTCATAGCTGGATTAGCAGATAGATTAGCTAATCAACGCTTTTTTATTTGTTAAAGTTTTGTGTCAAAATTCTACCCGGTAAATTTTTGGAAATAACCACAATAATTAATATTTTGAATCTGTATTACGTTGCAATAGTTTTTCAAAGTAAACACAAAGATTACATAATTTTTATTTCTGTGCACCAAATTGTGCGCGGCTTTCCAGTGAACAGTTTGGCCTCGTAATGTTTCAATTTTAGCCTGCTTAAATAGGAATCAAAATTTGACTTTTGAACCCTGAAGCGTATAAGCCGAGTAAATCAGACATGAAGTCTTTTTTAATATTTAACTTATTAAATTTAGTCTGAGAATCAGTCTACTGACAATAAATAAACAGTTTTATCAGACATTATAACCACCAACGAAATGACAGAGCTCTGAGCCGTCACAATTTTGCCCTCCGTATTATAGGAATTTGGATTTGATTATTTAATTAAACTTAGTGCCTTCGTCTAAACCTTCCGGCCCACCCACGCGCCCTAGTTTCAATTTTTTGATTATTTTTTCAATCCCGATGAACGTTTGCGGCTTAATAAATAATGAATTTATGTCTAAAATTATTCGGTTCAGCTTTGAAATTAAACTCAAAGGGGAAGTCTACTATTTCAAAATCTTCATCAAATGTCAATGCTAGACCCTCAAAAATAATTAGACTTTATCTCTCCTTTAAAAAACAAAGGCGCTGAGGGTGAAACCCTTACAAAATTTTTCTCTTCGGTAATTAAAGGCAAGCGTTCAGGGTAAGGTGATATGAGCCAAAAGGAAATAGTTGCTTCAATTTTTTAATCTTGACTTCCGTAAAAGATTCCTTGGTTCTCTAGACGGCTTAATGGACAAACGATGCTCTCCAGGGAAACCCGACCCATACATTAAATTTAGATGAGGCGGGTCTATTTTAAGTCCCTTCTCTTCCAAATTAACTGATTCTGTGAAGATTATTTGAAGGTCTAAGTCAAAAAAAGACAAAAAAAGTCGTTTCTAAAGAAAGACAACTGAATCTTATCTCGTTCCAATGTCTCGGACTTTTAAATGGATCTAAGCTTGTCTAGAATTCTCGACAAAAGTACCTTATCTACTTTTCAACATTTTACGCTTTACTGAGTCTTCGGAAACTGTTAAAATATGAAAAAATGGAAAAATTAAATTGAAATTGAGAATACGATAGCTGATAAAATAATCCAACTAAAAATTAATGTCAGAGTACTAAGTTTAAGAAGTCAGATTTAATCGATTGTCTGAATTTGATTCAAGAATCTGCAGCTATATCGAGGTGGCGTGATTTTCCATTAAATTCATTCGATCTATCGGCTGTCGGGTGATTTAGCGTGGGGCCAACAGTTAAGCTGGTCGAGCCCGAGTGACTCAGCCGTGCAAGGGAACCGATGTCGCCTGAACCGATCGAATTAGATTGAGTCATTGTGTGGAGGCTGTTGTTGTTGTGAGCTGTGCTGCTTAAATGATGCTGTGAGTGGTTGGTTGAGTGACGTCTCGTGTATGTCTCCATAAAAGAGGGCACTTCGTTAATGATCGACAGTTCGAATCTCGGCAGGTCCCGAGGCATGTTGTCCGATTTTCTGTTTCCTGAAACACTTCAGTATATTGCAAAAAAGTCATCTCATGATTTTTAATTATTATTTTTCCGACAATTTTCTATAAAGATTTCTAACTCGAGCTGTTTTCCAACTAAAAAATAATATATATTTTTTCTATTTTGACCACCAACTGCACTAAAAAATCAAATATTTTCTTTTATTGCCAAATAAATTATGTTTTATTGCCAGAGAACCGCTAAATGAGGCTTCCAAAACTAACTTTTTAGTAAATCAAGAAATTTTAAACCTAAATTGGTAAATTTTATATGTAAAGAACATTACTCGATGGCTTTACACGCTCAAAAATAGACGAAAAACAAAAATTTCAAACCGGGTTTTCTCGAAACTGGGAAACAAATTTTGAATTTTTTTTGTTCAAAACACGACTGAAAGGAGGCATTATGATAAATCGTTCGACCGATGATTGTTTGTGGTACCCGATTTTGCGTCCCATTATTAATTGTGATGGCTGATTTGCGTGGAAAACAAAAAAAGAACCCGAAACACTCCCGAATACAAAGTTCCTCCCCATTTTCAATGGTCGGAACAACAACAAAAAAGTTCAAAGCTAAGAAAAAAGTTTTTTAATTCAATTTTTGAACCAATGAATTATGAAAAATTCCATTAGATGCTGATTTATGTGTTGAAATTAGGTTGAGGAAAATGAAGACATAGCTCTTGTCTTAATTTTTAGAAGAATTGAAAAAATGCATAAAGTTTTGCAAAATTCGGGCCCAAAAAGGGAACAGAATTGACAAAGAGCAAATTGTTTTGCAAAATTTGGGTTCAAAATTTTGCCTTGAAAACGATCATTTCAACTTTTTCAGGCAACATGATATTGCGCAAAAAATACTGGGTCAATTGGGGACAATTTATATCAAGGTGAGCCTCTTTTTTAGCGCATCAAAATTTAGAAGAATTTGATGCCCAAGAGATTGCGTAAAATGCATAAACTGTGTTAAAAAATGGTTCTAAATAAAATTGTCATTTTTTACTATCAACCAAAAATAAATATTTTAATAAAAATTTTTGGAAAATATACCTTCCTAGATTTTGTTGGTTCACGTAAGAGATTAATTTGATATAGCTTTGGTAGTAATTGACTCAGAAGTTTTAGTGTGATTTCAGTTTGACCAAAAAGCAGAAATGACCGTTTTTAGAAAAAAAATTTCGGGCCCAATATTCGAAAAACAAACTGCAATACGTTAATTCTCCTATGATTTTAAACAAGCTATGTCCTCATTAATTTCAATCTAATAACAACACAAGTTGAAGAAAAACGAAATTTAAAATTCAAGTTTTGACAATAGGTTAAGTACTCAACTTTATTATTATTTGTGGTACATCTGATAATATACTATTTTAAAGAAAGGCGTGCTGACAGGGCCAGATATAGGGGGCTGACTGGGTAGTCCAAAATGTCCTACTTTTCGTACTATTTTACGACTCCATTTTTGGCTAACATTTTTTCTGATGGCGCCTTTCCTGCTAACAAATGCCAATTTTGAGGTGGAAACACGCGCCAAAAAAAAACGAATATGTTTTAGTCAAAGTTTCTTTCAAGAAACTGCAAAAAACTACCACGTTTTGGCTTGTTTTTTTCATTATTTTTGCGTGCGGAGCTATTAGTTTGCTCAAAATAGGGTTTTTAGATTGGAAGTTTTTTTGAAAATCCGTCCTCGAAAAGTCCTAGACCCGCTTTTGCGTGCTGATCTATGGAAGCAGTTCACTTATTGTACAAGCGCGGTTATTGTACAATCGCGATTCATTTATTTTTGCAGTCTTCGAGTCATTTTCAGGTTACGCTGCCGGCAAAAATGCATAAATCACTTGAAAATCTTCAAATTTTTTGTTCACATTGTCCGATTCTGAAATTTGTTCACAAAACGGCGTCGTTTTTAAGCATTTTTTGGAACGATTTTGTCCAAAAAAACAAAGATGTTGGCGCGTGTTCCCCTTTGTTCACCTTGTCTGATTTTAACAAGTACTTTTTTTCTGTACATTGTGCTATTTTTACAAAAATCGGCATGCGCATTGATTAAACTATAAAAACATATTGGGTCTTCAAACTCAGTGAAAACCTTCATTAAATTATAACATTATGGCTGATATGAACTAGGGTAAAAACTTAATTCTACCCTTCACAAAGAATTGGCAAAGCTTTTGACTTTGCCACCTACTTTTACTTTTATTCAAAAAAAACAAATGTCAAAAAATTGAAGTTAATTATTTGTCACTGTTTTGATGTTGAGCGAACAAAAAACTTCAAGAAGTTTTCTATTTTTTGTGCTGTAGATAACCCTCTTCTCTATGTGTACTATATATCAAGAGGCCTAATATACAATAATACGTGATAAATCATGTGGTAAACTCCCACTAACTAGTGAAAAGTTCAAGGAGAGAGAACATAAATAGAACAAGACTGCTTGTATTGGGGCGAAGCCGTGAATATTCTGACTGCCTTTCAATGTCTATGGGGCAGTAATAACATAAAAACATCAAATGGAATAAAAACAAAAGGAATTTTTTTTGAAAATCATCCCCCCACACGCCATATAAAATCCAATGTGATAGATTTCAATCCTAGTAACAAAAAAATTATGGCAAATAAAGCTTCCTTTAACCGTTTTGGAACATTTTCTTTAGCGGATTAAATCTCCGCTCAGGCGTTACTAGCGCGAAATATATCTCGCGTTAATTGTCCCAAATTGGCCAAAATAGCAATCCTTAAACCCCCATAACTTTACCAAAAAATGATCACAGGCAAAATATCTTTTCAATTTTAAGCTCAAGACAACAATACTTTTTGAATGATATATAAAATTTTTGTCAAAAACGGCTAGTTAAAAAGTAGAAATTTGTCTGAAGAAAAAAAACCACCCCGAGCACAAATATTCTGTTATTTTCGTTACGAAAGTCGGAACCAAAAGCAACAAGACTGCTCGTATCAGGGCCAAACCCTGAATGTTTCGACTGCCTTTTAAGGTTTATGGAGCAGTTGTAACATAAAAAAAAATAAACCTAATAAAACAAAATAAAAAAAATTTTCTGAAATTTGAGATCTTTTTTTTTTAAATGAAATCATCCCCCCACACGCCATATAAAATACAAAAGCATAGATTTCGCTCATTGCAGCAATCCAGTTATGGCAAATAAGCTTCTTTCAACCAATTTGGAACGATTTCTAAGACGGATTAAATCTCCGCTTACGCGTTAAAAGCGCAAAATATATCGCGCGTTGATTGTACCAAATTGGCCAAAATGGCAATCTTTAAACCCGCATAATTTTACAAAAAATGATCACAGGTGAAATATCTTTTCAAATTTAAGCTCAAGAAAACAATACTTTTTGAATGATACAAAAAATTCCGTCAAAAATGGCTAGTTACAGAAAAAAAACCCACCCCGAGCACAAAAATTCCGTAACTTTCGTATCGAAAGTTGGAACAATAATAATAAAACGCGAGCAAAAATTGCGAGTTTGAATTTTAAGCCAATTTGTGATAAAACTAATATTTGAAAAAAAAGTTCAAAAATAATTATTATGTCACGATTGTTTGAAACTCACTACAGTCACAGGATAGGCTAGTCTTATTTTTCGTTTTCTAACGGTGAAACGATTTATTTTGTTCACCTTTCCCTTTTTTTCTGCGACTTCTCACGATTCAGGGCTGGATCTTTGAAATTGATTTAATGAAAATGGAGACTTGAAATTGGTTCACAGGCCAAAAAAAATCGTTGTCAAAAATAACGCTTTGGTAATCAGTTATCTTCATTAACAAAAAATTTTATACAGAACACAAAAATACGGAAAGCAAAAACCCTGTTTTGGCTAAATTCCTTGCTAAATGGTCTAGAGTACGCTGTGAACTAGATTAAGGAAAAAAATGTGTTGACATAAAAATTGAGGATGTCTAATCCTAGCATAAAGAGTTAATGATCATCATTAAAAGCACCTTTGGAACCATTATTGTCCCGACTTTCGATACGAAAGTAACGGAATATTTGTGTTCGGGGTGGGTTTTTTTTCAGAGAAATTTCGACTCTTTAACTAGCCATTTTTGACAAAAATTTTTAAATATCATTTGAAAGCTATTGTTGTCCTGAGCTTAAATTTGAAAAGATATTTCACCTGTGACCATTTTTCGTAAAGTTATGGGGGCTTAAAGATTGCCAATTTGGGACAATTAACGCGCGATATATTTCGCGCTACTAACGCGTAAGCAGGGATTTAATCAGTCTTAGAAATCGTTCTAAATTGGTTGAAAGAAGCTTATTTGCCATAATTGATTGGTTACAAGGAGCCAAATCTGTCTTTTTGTACTTTATATGGCGTGTGGGGTGATGTTTTTCATAAAAAACTTTCAAATTGTAGAAAAAAAATTTCATTTTATTTTATTACTTTTTTTGTTATTACTGCTCCATAAACCTCAAAAGACAGTCGGAACATTCAGGGCTTCTCCCTGATACGAGCAGTCTTGTTTGAGTTTTGGGCTTGGATATTTTTGTTTCGACTTTTAACTTAAAAATCGTGCTCGCTTTGTTTTTTCTCTTTTTGGTCAAATTTCACTAGATAACCACCCAATTTTGATGAGAGGTTCTGAATCATCTGGAAAGCAAATACGGAAAGCAAAAGTTCTGTTTTAGCTAAATTCCTTGATAAATGGTCTAGAGTTCGTTGTGAACTAGATTATGGAAAACAAATGTGCTGACATAAAAATTGAGGATGTCTAATCCTAGCATAAAGAGTTAATGGTCATCATTAAAAGCACCTTTGCACCCATTATTTTCCCGACTTTCGATACGAAAGTTACGGAATATTTGTGCTCGGGGTGGGTTTTTTTCTTCAGAGAAATTTCGACTATTTAAGTAGCCATTTTTGATAAAATTTTTTAAAATATCATTTGAAAGCTATTGTTGTCCTAAGCTGAAATTTGAAAAGATATTTCACCTGTGACCATTTTTTGTAAAGTTATGGGGGTTTAAAGGTTGCCAGTTTGGGACAATTAATGCGCGATATATTTCGCGCTATTAACTCGTAAGCAGAGATTTAATCCGTCTTAGAAATCGTTCTAAATGGGTTGAAAGAAGCTTGTTTGCCATAATTGATTTGTTACAAGGATCAAAAACTATCCTTTTGTACTTTATATGGCGTGTGGGGGGATGTTTTTTACAAAAAAACTTCAAAGTTTAGAAAAAAAAAATTTTTTTTTAATACATTTTTTTGCTATTACTGCTCCATAAAACTCAAAAGGCATTCGGAACATTAAGGGTTTCTCTCTGATACGAGCAGTCTTGTTTGAGTTTTGGACTTGGATATTTTTGTTTCGACTTATAACGTAAAATTCGTGTTTTTTTCTCTTTCTGGTCAAATTTGACTACTTAACCACCCAACTTTGATGAGAGGTTTTGAATCATCTGAAAACTATTAATGTCGGGGCTAAGTTCAAAGTTGTGGAAGTTTGGTATTTACTTATTCGGTCAATTTGAGTTGAATAATTAGCTCTCTGAGGGCCGTTTAGAAGGTTCAGCGGCAAATTAAATCGTTCCATTTTGAATAGATGCAAATGTTTTGGCCTTACTAATTTGTTATCAGAAGCAAAATATGTCAATATCTTTTTGCAGTTTTAGCGTTTGGGTAATATGAAGAGAAATCATAAAAAATGTGTTCAATTTTTTGTTCCGACTTTCGATACGAAAGTAACGGAATATTGTGCTCGTGGTGGGTCTTTTTCTTCAGACAAATTTCGACTTTTTAACTCGCCATTTTTGACGAGATTTTTCAATATCATTCAAAAGGTATTGTTGTCTTGAGCTTAAATTTGAAAAGATATTTCACCTGTGATCATTTTTCGTAAAGTTATGGGGGTTCAAAGATTGCCATTTTGGCCAATTTGGGACAATTAACGCGCGATATATTTTGCGCTATTAACGCGTAAGCGGAGATGTAATCCGTCTCAGAAATCGTTCCAAATTGGTTGAAAGAAGCTTATTTGCCATAATTGATTTGTTACAATAGCGAAATCTATTCTTCTGTATTTTATATGGCGAGTGGGGGTATGATTTCATTTTTTTAGGTTTCAAATTTTAGATTTTTTTTTCATTTTGTTTTAGTACTTTTAATTTTTTTTTATGTTACTACTGCTCCATAAACCTTAAAAGGCAGTCGGAACATTCAGGGCTTCACCCTGATACGAGCAGTCTTGTTTCGATTTGTCATCAACTTGAACTATTTTTTTTTCATCGACGTTAAAGAGGAGAAAAGGGGACAATTGCGTTGGGTATTTTTTCCGTCCCATCTGATGTTTGAATACTCCAGAGAATGATTGTAGATGGTCAATATTAGTGTCAAACCAAAGCCTCATTGTTCTTTATTCAGATTCGTTATTATAATTGTAAAATTTCTCTCAGTATTCAGAAAATCTCTAAATGTTTTCGTTTTTTAGACAAAAAATATCGGTAGAATTTTTTGTACAGTTTTTTTTGGGAATTTTTAAACTATTTTAGCTCTAACTACAAAAAATAAACAACCAAACAAAAGTTTTAAAATTTTTTCATTTTTTTTATTACAAACGCTCATGTGGCCGGATTATTCCGTACTACTTGCATAGCAACCGGCTACCTTTATAAGCATCTCAAGGAACAATTTCGACAAAACTGAAATTTCTTTGTGTTGTTTAGTGAGTACTCTAGAACATCTCTATTGAGTCTTTTCTGAGGGGCCAAATAAGGCTTCCAAAGCGAGTGTTTTTTTTTCTCATCCAGCTAGATTTCTTCACATAAGCTTTTAAGCCGTTTTTTTTCTTCAAATTTTAGCTTTGTATCTCCAGATTTTGTAGAGAAAACGACACAATGGGAAGAAAAGAAACGTTCGTTTCATTTATTTATTCAGCTGAATTCAAAAATTTTCTTTGCTAATTTTTGTCCCGTGACTGTGTATCTATTTGAATTGGCAATGTTTTTATACTTATAATCATGAGGTTTCTCTTTAAATAAAAGTGATATGCACAGAAACACTAGTGAAATATACTTACTCTTTCGACACGAATTGAAGCAGAATTGGAGCAGAAGACTTGGTTTCATCTTCTCTTTTTCAGCCGGAATAAAACAGAAAAATGCCAATTGTAAATACGAATGAAAGGTAGCAGGCAGGTTGAGTTATTCTCATTAAGTCTAATAAATTATTACTGAAAGAAAATAAGACGAAATTGTTTGTTGTTCTCTGTGTAGGCGTACAATCTGCGAAGGTTTGGCGAATGATTAATGATAATTTACGGTAGGAGAGAGAGCATAAAATTTTTGATACTTTTCCATGAAAGGAGTTCCAAAGAAGAAGGAGTTCTTTGTATTTTCAAATCTGTTTTTTTAATAGAGTTTTTCTGACAAGAGATGAAAAAGTTAATTAAAAAGGTGAAGGAAAGAAGAAAAGCGATAAAAATTAATGTGCAGCACTCTTGATTTTCGATAGAGTGCAGGAGAAATAATGAAAGGAAACAAGTAGAGCACTAGCTGAGGGGAAGGAATCACTTCAACTCACAGTAAAAAGCCTACAGGATGAGCACCCTGAGATGGTATAAAGAGTAGGTGCAGATCTGATTGATTTGAAGCGAAGTCAACCCACAATTTCGGGTTGAAATTCCAGGGTAAAATTCGATCACAACAAAATCAAAATGAGGAAGGTTTGAGAGAGAGAATATAAAGCAAAAAGAATAAAAGAATATAGGAAAAGGGAGTTGGGGGTGTTCTTTTGATTGCTCGAATAACCTGTGACGGGTCGCCTTTTTTTCTTTTTTTGTAAGTCTAAGCACGGCGCTACATATAGCGATATAAATGAAATCTCCTAAAACAGAAAAACAAGTGCAAGTTAAACCCAAAAAGTAGAGCTTATTCTAATTGATACACTTTTGTGCATAATCCCATCTCAGTTTCCAAAGTCAAGGTAAAAGAGGCATTGCACTTTAGTTTACTCGGTCGAATTATGGAAGAATGGAAAATATATTTTTTTTAGTATGAGGCGCAAATATTATGCAAATTATGAAACCGATGCAACGAATTATGCAAACTATCTAGCATCTTCAAAAGCCATAGATGCGCCTAAATCATTGTTTCTTCAATTTTTACAATGTGAGGTTTAAATCGGGAATAGATTCTATTTACTGCCATTGCATCGGCTTGTAGAGCGAAAAGCCCTGGAGAACAAAGGGTTACTAGAGTGATGAAAATGGAATAATAATAAAAAAGCCTGAAATCTGGCATGGAAACTAAAATGTGTGTAGCTTTGACCATTTCCAACATTCTAGTACGCTCAGGTGTTCATAGAAGTTCAAATTGACGATGAATGCGTGTCAAAATGCAGAGTTTTCATTCATCTTTATCAACAAACAATAAAACAAATAATCGATGGCTTAGAAATAAACCAATAATTCCTCAAGGCAAAGTTTTTTGTTGGCTGGAAAATAGAAAGTGTCATTTGTTAAAACCCACGTACCCAATCTTTGTTGTTGCCTTGTCAAATAAAATAAAAGCATACAACAGAACTTTCCCTTGGTGTTTCCATTCAAACCTATTCCCCGGAATTGATTTAACGGTGTCATTATCTTCAAACTACATGTCGCATTATATTTACCACCTTGGAGCTATACACTTCAACAATGCAAAAGTACAGGAAAAAGAACTCAGGTGAAATCATTTCATTTCACGTTGATATCCGTACTTTCACAAACAGTTATTTCACAAATGGTCTATCAGCCTTCTTTCTTCTAGGCTAGATAAGCTGAGGAGTTGTGGGGAGATTGAGTTAGGTAATTAAGTTACCTGCTCTGTCAAATCAATGGAGACCGAAAATTTCAATTAGCAACATATGCCACATGAGTTCAAAAATGACTCTCCACTAATTTCGGTGGATACAAATTGTCATTACTTTTATAGTTCTGCAGAGCCAGCAGCAACAAAACTCATTTACAACGTCTACCACTTCAAAAAGTGGCCATATTGGTTTTCTTTACGAATTGAATTTTTTTTTTACAAAATGACAAGTTTTTTAAAAAGTGATGAAGCTTTTAGTCTCTCGAAGCACGATCAATTTTAAAATTCACATTGTAAGTAATCGAGCCTCTTTTAACTCTTCCGTTAATTTCGGGGTTCTTCTGAAAATTAATTTGATTGCTTGTAGCTAGTGAAGTCAAAGAAATTTGCCAAAAATCGTTCCAAGAAAAATTGTAGATCGACCCTTTTTAAAGAAACCTTTCGACGGCATTTTATGGTAAATCAAAGTGAAAGAACATCTTTCCCGCTCTCGCGTTTACCTTTAAGGCCGCAAAATATTTCAGAAAAGATGGCCAATAACTAAAACAGTAATTGGTCGAAAAAGTCTTAGTGGTTAACATAAAAGCGCGAATAACTTGGAACATCATTAAAATTCTACAAGTATTCTTTTGCTTAATTTGAGTGGCCTTGGCCTGTCTCACATTTGAAAGAAAGCTCGAGCAAATACAAAAAGAGTTGATCATCTGATCAGTTAATATTTCAAAAGTTATTGAGTTCAAATTTCAAAACGTATTTCACCTGTGACTTTTATTCGTGAATTCGTTCTATCACGCGTAAGGGGCAATCAATATATTCCAGCAATGAAATTTGCTCCCTAATGAAACGAGGCAGACAGTTTGTCCTAATTAAACGTTACTATTAGTGAAAAAGATTAGTTGGTAGTTTATATGGCGTGGGAGCGGACGATTTTTAAAACAAATCTAATTTTTTTTTTAATAATAAACTTAAATTTTAACCAAATTTTTTCAATGAAAAAATCAAAAAACTTGATGCAGCTCCGAACTGCACGAGATAATCAGTAGTTGTGAAAAGTAAATGGTAGATAAAGAAGAAGTTTCTACTCAACAATTAGAGACATTACTAACACTACACCACAAGTTGCTCGGTTTCAGAGCCTACCCTAAATAATTGGAGTAATTTGTTGCATACAATACAGCCACTTAGTGTTCGCTTCAGAACAGCCAACATTTAGACGTTATGTTGTATTGAGCAGTTTAAACATTTTACTCATGTAATTTTTATTGAATTGGCTTTTTTCTTAAAGAAACTTTCAACAATTTTTAATTTAAAAACTATTCCGCAACTTTATAGGGCACTCGGAACAATCAGGGCTCCGCCCTAATACGTGCAGTTTTAATGTTCTGGCTTCCGAAGAAAGTACGGATAATTTATAAGTGGGCTGGTTGTTTATTGGTCCAAGTATTTGGTTTTTTAATTCGGTTTTCGGTTTTTAATCGAAAAACTTTCTTTGTCTGAAGTTCGTCTGTGAAACAAAATTCACCTATAACGTTTATAAAAAGCTAGTTTGGTCAGTTTGAGATGTTTAACGCGCAATATAATTCAATTTTATTACACCGTAAGCGGTGGATCAAATAGTTTCGAATTGAATTGAGGGAAAACTTTTGGTCTGATTATCAAGATACAAGATGCTGAATATATCTTATTGCAATTTAGACAGCGATAGAGGATTAAAAAGAAGACAAAATGAAAAAAAAACAATCTATCTATTGAACAAATTTTTTAAGCAAAAACTTTTTCTGTATCTCTACAGACATTGGAAAATTAAAACTTTGCTATAATATAACAGTTCTTGTGCTATTTTTAGCAAGTTGTCATGCTTGAGCTGTTTTTAATTCAGTAAATGTTTGCTTTTTAAAATGGGAGTTTTTGACAACATTTTTGACCAGGTTGAATTTTTTTTCTTAGGTGCAAAAACTTTAACATGTGATAATTTTTTGTGTGAAAATAAATGCATATTTTTTGTTTAGCAAATTTGGGATTTTTAACAGGCAATGTTTTGCTTGCCCCAATATAACAGCCAATATTTTGCGTATTAAGTTTTTCTAAGTTTGAAGTACGGCCAATCATGTGGTCTAATTAATAGAAATACAGCCGCTTGGCACATCCCAATGAACTTTACACTGCGCACAGATCATGATTGATGAAAATCGGTTGTTATAGAGATAACAGATGGTAAAAAAATTGATTAAATAGAACTCATTCTCCTACTTTTATCGATTTGCAACTGATTTCTAAGCTATGTTACATTTTTTCTGTTTGAAGCTAAGAATATTTTCAGCTTTACAAATTATTATAAGTTTAAGTAGTTGATCATGATTGAATTCTGAGTTGAGTTTTGAATAATTTTTTGATGAAAATCAAGGTATCCAATAAATACTTGTTTTGAACTGGTTGCACCCGGGGCTTAGGAAGTTTTTTTAAATCAAAGTGTTTCTTGTGAGGTATGGATAGAATGTCTTCTAGGTTCTTTGAGGAGAGTGTTGATTGACTGTATCAATGAAGAACATGTGATAAGATCGATAGAAGTTAAGAGATTATTGCGAATCAAATACATTGTATTGAAGTTGCAGATTTGTGCTAACAAATAGCAATTTTGTAAGTTAGAGCGAGACTACGTGCATTCTCAAGTATTCGTTAGTATTGATCAACTAGCGAGACAGGGGTTGATTTCTCTGAGTGAAGCGCCAGATGACAAGGATTCGTGTTTTTGAGTTTCAATAACAAGTTAGCCTTTGTTTTGTTCAATGGATACCTTTGCTGCGATATCGGCTCCATACCCTATATCCTGCGAGGGTTTTTACTGCGGCAAGCAGAACCAACAGATATGCCATTCCATAATCGCAAGGTTGTCGAGCTTTCATCCCCCTTTTAGTGCTCGTTTCTTTTTGCTCTGTGAAATCTTTACGTTCTATATGTCCGAATTTTTATTGATTCGACTTGAGTTATGATCATCCTAGTTTTTGCACACAAGCGTTTCATTTAGTTCGATTTTTATGAAGAGTTGCTTACCTTAGAGCCACTCTTGGTTAAAAAAAGTGTGGGTTGTGTGTAGGCATGTTTCTAGCGCGGTTGGTGAGGCCGGCTACATAGCATGCTCAGGAAGTCCATCACTGATGGTTGAGGCCAGTTGGAGGCCTTTGTGAGCGCTTTTTTGTAGAGTCTCTAGTTGCTTATAACCTTTTTTTTCCATTTCTATCGGGTGATTTGTCTTCTGCTTGTGTCTTTTTCTTAAAAACAGTTCGTCATTGATGTGATCTGGTTTCGTCCTTAATATTAGCTCAGCTTCAATAGACTTTTTGAGACGTGGAAATAATTTGATTCTTTTTTCGATTTGTTTCGACAAGTTTTTTTTTTTTTTTAAATAGGATGTTTCTAAATCTGAGTTAACATTAGGTCTGCTTGAGACTCGTTGGTAGCACCAGATGATTTCAGATCTAAGGTATATTTCTTAGTCTCAATAGATCTACTATATACTAGAGGGGAAAAAGAGGCAACTGATTTCTAAGCTGGATTATATTTTCTCTGGCTGAAACTATGAATAGTTTCAGCTTTACAATTTATCATAAGTTTTACTAATGGATCCTGATTGGTTAGTTCTAAATATTTTTCAGCGATAAATATCAAGGTCTTTAATTAATACTTTAAATACCTGTTTTGAACATGTTTATTAAGTTATTTGTGGCTTACTTCTGTCGTCCGAGTTCCAATGATACTGTGCTACTGTAATAGAAAAGAACTATGACCTAGAAAGTTTTTTTGGTTTCAATGCAAAATTGGAGGAGTCGAAAACTTTGTTCTAAGGCTTTGAGTGTAATACCAGGCTCTTTCAGCCTTGATATCCCGTAGAAAAACTGAACACTTTGAAAAACGTGCACAAACAGTCTTAGATGTAGTCTTAAGGGTTAAGTTGGTTTTACACTGAACGTAAAAAATAGCAGTTAGCAGATTATTTGTCTTCTGCATTTAGTTTAGTGATGAATTGGTAGCTCAATTTTAGTTTCGCGTAAAATACAGTGAAACGCCAGAAAAGCAATTACGTTAATTGGCGCAAAGTTTATCATTTGTACTTGACACTAAATGTGGGGGATGCTTAAAAAAATTAAGAAAATTTTTAGAATTTTCGGTTTCTATTTTTGTATCTTACCAAAATTGTTACAAATCTAATGTTGACAACTTAGCAGACCTTGAAAATCAATTCAGTTGACCTATGAAAAACAGAGGTAGTTTTTTTTTTGAAAATTCGATCAGCTTTTGCGAAAATTCTAAAATCGCGCCTTCCAATGTCCCATATGCGTAGTTAAACTTTTAAATGACAAGGTTGCTTACTGGATTTGACATTGAATGGTAAAAAAAGATGTGGCGTGACGCTCCGTTCTGAATTTCCAATTTTTTTTTTCAACGGAAGAGAAGACAAATATGTAATCAAAACGGAATGAGTTTGGAAGCTTGTTGAGGATGAAATGAAAACACGATTAGTCCACAGTACCTTTGAAGGATGTTGGCTAATCTCGTGTGTAATGAGTGAATTGGTCTCCTAAGATAGATACAAGATGGAGACATAAATGCATCACCGGATAGGAGAAAGAAAGGAAAGGTTCCTGTGAGGAAAATTAACAGCGGCTGCGTCTCAATCCACTACGTCAGTCCATGACGTTTTTTCCTCAATTTTTCACTTTTGCAAAATATTAAAGACATTTTTGACCTCTTTCAACTAGATCGAATTTAAAACAACCATAAATTTATCATTCTGCCGTGTCGGTGAAACAGTTTTGCGAACCATTAAATTATTTTGCAAAATCTTAGCCTGTATTAAGTTATAAGCATTTTTGTTAAAATGCGGACGTGAAATAATTTATGAGCTATAATGGCATGGCCGAGATAGAAAAAATGTTGCCGTCATTCTTATATGCTTTCAAAGATGTTGAAATATCGACCTACCCGGGAATTGTAGAAAACAGAGCCGTGTGTGTGTGAGCAAAAATTGATTATAGTCATTCAAAATAAAAAATCAAACTAAATAGAATCTTTTTTATCAAGCTCAGTTGTGGGAAGTTTGGAAAGGAAAAATAAGGACTGAAATAATTGCTCTATCTTTTTTTTTCAACGTAAAATGAGTGAAATTGGTATAACTTGCTAAAAAATTCTTTGAAGTGTGTGCATTGTTCGTGCTAATATCATTTGGTTAGACTGCTGCTGCTTTTGGGCTTCACTTACTCTTTAATTTTGTGTCCACTAGAAGTGATGATGCGAATAGTAAATTCATCTCCAACTTAATTTCCCCACGGGAGGAAAACTCGGCCTTTGAGGAAGTTCTTTTTTTTAGGCTACCCTACTCGCTTCAAAGCTACGGGAACTTTTCCATGTACTTTTCAATTCCAAGTTCAATTCCAATTTGACAGACTCAATCAATCTGCTTGTTTTTAATAGACGGCTTGTGCGTTTTTCCAAATTAAACCAATTCTAGTGTGAAATTCAATCAGGCTAGACTGCTGTCTGTGTGGTAGATATTTCACATGGTACTCTTAGATATTGCCCCGTCAGTAATGCTTGTTTGTTAGCTTTAGGGTATCTAAGCTTCTAGGTTTTTATATACTCAACCAAAAAAGCAAAGTCTTAAATTTGAAAGATAATTGTTATTTAGATTAAACAAAAAATGTCTTTTTTCCTCCCAAAAACTTCGCGTTCTAAGCATGGAATAAAATTACTACTCACACAGACAAATTTAAATCATGAAATTTAAAAAAAAAGTTAGGATTTACGTACCTTATAAATAGTGTTGACATCCAATTTCAAAATAAAAGGCGAAGCAAAAATCGAAGGAATTATTTCTCAAAGAGGATTAGTATAAAAAACAGCTTCAGAGGCGGGCTAGTTGAGTTGCGGTTACAAAATGGGAGTCTAAGTCTGATTAGATTAGGAAAAGCTAATATAACCTCAAGATATTTTTCGGTCTGTTTCGGCTTCTTTTATAAATTTCGAGTAGAGAAAAAATAGGAAATTAGATCGGAGAAGAAGAGTGCAATTGCCCCACCTCTTTGTGTCCCTTTTCCCATAGTCACGGGGGGGGGTATTTTTCAGATTGTTCAGGAAGATGTGTTGAACCACATGATGGTTTTGTAGGGTTAATTTAGTAAGGCACAAAACCCAGTTATTACCGCTAATGATACCCTGACTGCAATACCCTGGCCAATGGCGTTTCACTCAGTTAGACGACGCTTTAAAACGCCGAAAAATTGGCCGAAATTTATCAGCTAAACGTAATTTTAATACTTCGTAGCTTCGATTCGAAAAAAAATTAAAATAACGCTCTCAGTCAAATCTAGCTTTTGCGTCAAACTTTTTTCGATTTTTATCACTCTCTGCTATTTGCCCAGGTTACTCAGAGGGGAGGAGTGATTGCAGCTTTCATTTCCCCTCAGAAACCCAATTGGCAAAAAAAATTAACTTAATCCTGAGAGGCACAGCAAAAATCAAAATTAATTTATCTGTTTATCACAAAATATACTTGAGTTACATCAAATGTCAAAATAAAAATGCTGCTTGACGAGGTTTTGGTACGGGGTAACAAAAAAACAGGATGCTGTTATCACATCACGAGCATTAATATGCAAAAAAATGACAAGACCCTCAACATGTTGCGAAAAACCGAATAAAGGAACACTTGCGCTGTTTAGCACATAGCATGTTGAGACATCTGTAAGACGTTGCAATCAATCTCTGAAAGCTCTATGGATTAATTGTTTTGCAGTTTTAGATACCCTAGTGTTATAGTCACGCATTCCTGTGCCAGTTTACCATTTCAGCTGACAATTAATGTCTAGGGTATCCATAGACACCAGTTTTAGATACCCTAGTGTTATAGTCACGCTTTCCTGTGCCAGTTTACCATTTCAGATGACATTTAATGTCTAGGGTATCCATAGACACTAGTATTAGATACCCTAGTGTTATAGTCATGCATTCCTGTGCCAGTCTACCATTTCAGCTGACAATTATTGTCTAGGGTATCCATAGACACCAGTTTTAGATACCCTAGTGTTATAGTCATTCATTCCTGTGCCAGTCTACCATTTCAGCTGACAATTAATGTCTAGGGTATCGGATTTAATTGTTTTGCAGTTTTAGATACCCTAGTGTTATAGTCATGCATTCCTGTGCCAGTCTACCATTTCAGCTGACAATAAAAGTCAAGGGTATCCATAGACAGCAGTTTAGTTTTAGATACCCTAGTGTTATAGTCACGCACTCCTGTGCCAGTTTACCATTTCCGATGACATTTAATGTCTAGGGTATCCATAGACACTAGGATTAGATACCCTAGTTTTATAGTCATGCATTTCTGTGCCAGTCTACCATTTCAGCTGACAATTAATGTCTAGGGTATCGGACTTAATTGTTTTGCAGTTTTAGATACCCTAGAGTTATAGTCATGCATTCCTGTGCCAGTCTACCATTTCAGCTGACAATTAATGTCTAGGGTATCCATAGACAGCAGTTTAGTTTTAGATACCCTAGTGATATAGTCACACATTCCTGTGCCAGTTTACCATTTCCGATGACATTTAATGTCTAGGGTATCCATAGACACTAGGATTAGATACCCTAGTTTTATAGTCATGCATTTCTGTGCCAGTCTACCATTTCAGCTGACAATTAATGTCTAGGGTATCGGACTTAATTGTTTTGCAGTTTTAGATACCCTAGTGTTATAGTCACGCACTCCTGTGCCAGTTTACCATTTCCGATGACATTTAATGTCTAGGGTATCCATAGACACTAGTTTTAGATACCCTAGTGTTATAGTCATGCATTTCTGTGCCAGTCTACCATTTCAGCTTACAATTACAGTTAAGGGTATCAATAGACAGCAGTTTAGTTTTAGATACCCTAGTGTTATAGTCACGCATTTCTGTGCCAGTTTACAATTTCAGATGACACTTAATGTCTAGGGTATCCATAGACACTAGTTTTAGATACCCTTGTGTTATAGTCATGCATTTCTGTGCCAGTCTACCATTTCAGCTGACAATTAATGTCAAGGGTATCCAGAGACACCAGTTTTAGATACCCTAGTGTTATAGTCATGCATTCCTGTGCCAGTCTACCATTTCAGCTGACAATTTATGTCTAGGGTATCCATAGACACCAGTTTTAGATACCCTAGTGTTATAGTCATTCATTCCTGTGCCAGTCTACCATTTCAGCTGACAATTAATGTCTAGGGTATCGGATTTAATTGTTTTGCAGTTTTAGATACCCTAGTGTTATAGTCATGCATTCCTGTGCCAGTCTACCATTTCAGCTGACAATAAAAGTCAAGGGTATCCATAGACAGCAGTTTAGTTTTAGATACCCTAGTGTTATAGTCACGCACTCCTGTGCCAGTTTACCATTTCCGATGACATTTAATGTCTAGGGTATCCATAGACACTAGGATTAGATACCCTAGTTTTATAGTCATGCATTTCTGTGCCAGTCTACCATTTCAGCTGACAATTAATGTCTAGGGTATCGGACTTAATTGTTTTGCAGTTTTAGATACCCTAGAGTTATAGTCATGCATTCCTGTGCCAGTCTACCATTTCAGCTGACAATTAATGTCTAGGGTATCCATAGACAGCAGTTTAGTTTTAGATACCCTAGTGATATAGTCACACATTCCTGTGCCAGTTTACCATTTGAGATAACATATAATGTCTAGGGTATCCATAGACACTAGTTTTAGATACCCTAGTGTTATAGTCATGCATTTCTGTGCCAGTCTACCATTTCAGCTGACAATTACAGTTAAGGGTATCAATAGACAGCAGTTTAGTTTTAGATACCCTAGTGTTATAGTCACGCATTTCTGTGCCAGTTTACAATTTCAGATGACACTTAATGTCTAGGGTATCCATAGACACTAGTTTTAGATACCCTTGTGTTATAGTCATGCATTTCTGTGCCAGTCTACCATTTCAGCTGACAATTACAGTTAAGGGTATCAATAGACAGCAGTTTAGTTTTAGATACCCTAGTGTTATAGTCGCGCATTTCTGTGCCAGTTTACCATTCCAGATGACAATTAATGTCTAGGGTATCCATAGACAGCAGTTTTAGATACCCTAGTGTTATAGTCATCCATTCCTGTGCCAGTTACCATTTCAGCTGACAATTAATTTCTAAGGAAGGGTATCCATAAACAGCAGTTTGATTTTAGATACCCTTGTGTTATAGTCATGCATTTATGTGCCAGTCTACCATTTCTGCTGACAATTAAAATTAAGGGTATTCATAGACAGCAGTTTAGTTTTAGATACCCTAGTGTTATAGTCACGCATTTCTGTGCCAGTTTACCATTTCAGATGACAATTAATGTCTAGGTTATCCATAAACAGCAGTTTTAATACCCTAGTGTTATAATCAGGCATTCCTGTGCCACTTTACCATTTCAGCTGACAATTAATGTCTAGGGTATCCATATTCAGCAGTTTAGTTTTAGATACCCTTGTGTTATAGTCATGCATTTTTGTGCCAGTTTACCATTCAGATGACAATTAATGTCTATGGTATCCATAGACAGCAGTTTCAGATACCCATGTGTTATAGTCATGCATTCCTGTGCCAGTTTACCATTTCAGATGACAATTAATGTCTAGGGTATCCATAGACAGCAGTTTTAGATACCCTAGTGTTATATTCATGCATTTTTGTGCCCGTCTACCATTTCAGCTGACAATTAAAGTTAAGGGTATCCATAGAAGGCAGTTTAGTTTTAGAAGCCCTAGTGTTATAGTCACGCATTCCTGTGCCAGTTTACCATTTCAGATGACAACTAATGTCTAGGGTATACATAGACACTAGTTTTAGATACCCTAGTGTTATAGTCATGCATTTCTGTGCCAGTCTACCATTTCAGCTGACAATTAAAGTCAAGGGTATCCAT